GCACCTCCACTGCATATACGTTTGTGCCTCTCCTTCGAATGCGTCTGCATTCCCCGCCTCCTCACGCAAAAGGCTAATAGCGGCACAATGGATGCGTGTTGGATACGGGGTGGGACAGCCGTTCAGTTGGTTGTTTCGAAGCAGATCCAATGCAGTGGTGTGTGTAAGGGTGAGCAATGAATGCTCTGCACGCGGGGGACGCGGTGAATTCGGACAACCGGTTTGCAGGAAGTAGGTGCAGAGAATTAAGAAACGTGGCAGTGTGCAGTGGGTCGGCGTGAGACACAATGGTGAGACCTGACTCGCATCGAGCGTTCGCTGCTAGAAGCAGTCGTCGCGAGGAGGGTGTATAGGGTATGATGGCGATTGAGTGAGCTGAACTGTTTGCAGGTTTGCCAGTGCGTTCAGGCATTTCTAGCTGTGGTCCGAGCGAATGATTGCTGGGAAAGAAAGTGCGTGCGGATTTGTGTGATGGAGTCCGCCTGTCGGTGCAACGGCTTTGAATCTGCTGGAGCCCGTCGTTCCATCGAATGGAGTGGAGAAGATTTGGAGACGGGCATGTTGGTGCGAGGCGTTGGATGGGCATATCGCAGAAAGTACGTGGTTGTTACTGGAAGGCCTCCAGTTCTGAGTTGGGGCAATAGGAGGGAGGGGTTGGGACTTGTGGTGACTGGGAATAGCTCTGTAGACGCGATATGCGGGAGAGACAGGGGAGGCGCAGCGGCAAGGCGTGGCACAGGCAATGCGCGTCTGAGCACCTCGACTGCATATACGTTTGTGCCTCTCTTTAGAATGCGTCTGCATTCCCCGCCTCTTCACTCAGAAGACTGATGCTGCCACATTGGATGCGTGTGTGTGTGTCCCGGAAACAACGTGTTAACTGTGTAGGTTTGAAGCAGATCCAATGCAGTGGTGTGTGTAAGAGTGAGTAGAGAATGTTGTGCACGGGATGGACCGTTGCGAATTTGAATACCGGGGCTGCAGGAAGTAGGCGTCGAGTACCAAGAAACGTGGCAGTGTGCACTGGGTCGGCGTGAGACACAATGGTGAGACCTGACTCGCATCGAGCGTTCGCTGCTAGAAGCAGTCGTCGCGGGGAGGGTGTATAGGCTATGAGGGCAATTGAGTGAGCTGGATTGTTTGCAGGTTTGCCAGTGCGTTCAGGCATTTCTAGCTGTGGTCCGAGCGAATGATTGCTGGGAAAGAAAGTGCGTGCGGATTTGTGTGATGGAGTCCGCCTGTCGGTGCAACGGCTTTGAATCTGCTGGAGCCCGTCGTTCCATCGAATGGAGTGGAGAAGATTTGGAGACGGGCATGTTGGTGCGAGGCGTTGGATGGGCATATCGCAGAAAGTACGTGGTTGTTACTGGAAGGCCTCCAGTTCTGAGTTGGGGCAATAGGAGGGAGGGGTTGGGACTTGTGGTGACTGGGAATAGCTCTGTAGACGCGATATGCGGGAGAGACAGGGGAGGCGCAGCGGCAAGGCGTGGCACAGGCATTGCGCGTCTGAGCACCTCCACTGCATATACGTTTGTGCCTCTCCTTCGAATGCGTCTGCATTCCCCGCCTCTTCACGCAAAAGGCTAATAGCGGCACATTGGATGCGTGTTGGATACGGGTTGTGACAGCCGTTCAGTTGGTTGTTTCGAAACAGATCCAATGCAGTGGTGTGTGTAAGGGTGAGCAACGAATGCTCTGCACGCGGGGGACGCGGTGAATTCGGACAACCGGTTTGCAGGAAGTAGGTGCAGAGAATTAAGAAACGTGGCAGAGTGCAGTGGGTCGGCGTGAGAAACAATGGTGAGACCTGACTCGCATCGAGCGTTCGCTGCTAGAAGCCGTCATCGCGAGGAGGGTGTATAGGGTATGAGGGCGATTGAGTGAGCTGGATTGTTTGCAGGTTTGCCAGTGCGTTCAGGCATTTCTAGCTGTGGTCCGAGCGAATGATTGCTGGGAAAGAAAGTGCGTGCGGATTTGTGTGATGGAGTCCGCCTGTCGGTGCAACGGCTTTGAATCTGCTGGAGCCCGTCGTTCCATCGAATGGAGTGGAGAAGATTTGGAGACGGGCATGTTGGTGCGAGGCGTTGGATGGGCATATCGCAGAAAGTACGTGGTTGTTACTGGAAGGCCTCCAGTTCTGAGTTGGGGCAATAGGAGGGAGGGGTTGGGACTTGTGGAGACTGGGAATAGCTCTGTAGACGCGATATGCGGGAGAGACAGGGGAGGCGCAGCGGCAAGGCGTGGCACAGGCAATGCGCGTCTGAGCACCTCGACTGCATATACGTTTGTGCCTCTCTTTAGAATGCGTCTGCATTCCCCGCCTCCTCACGCAAAAGACTGATGCTGCCACATTGGATGCGTATGTGTGTGTCCCGGAAACAACGTGTTAACTGTGTAGGTTTGAAGCAGATCCAATGCAGTGGTGTTGGGAACAGTGAGTAGAGAATGTTGTGCACGGGATGGACCGTTGCGAATTTGAATACCGGGGCTGGAGGAGGTAAGCGTCGAGTACCAAGAAACGTGGCCGTGTGCACTGGGTCGGCGTGAGACACAATGGTGAGACCTGACTCGCATCGAGCGTTCGCTGCTAGAAGCAGTCGTCGCGGGGAGGGTGTATAGGGTATGATGGCGATTGAGTGAGCTGGATTGTTTGCAGGTTTGCCAGTGCGTTCAGGCATTTGTACCTGTGGTCTGAGCGAATGCTTGCTGGAAAGGGAGTGCGTGCGGATTTGTGTGATGGAGTCCGCCTGTCGGTGCAACGGCTTTGAATCTGCTGGAGCCCGTCGTTCCATCGAATGGAGTGGAGAAGATTTGGAGACGGGCATGTTGGTGCGAGGCGTTGGATGGGCATATCGCAGAAAGTACGTGGTTGTTACTGGAAGGCCTCCAGTTCTGAGTTGGGGCAATAGGAGGGAGGGGTTGGGACTTGTGGTGACTGGGAATAGCTCTGTAGACGCGATATGCGGGAGAGACAGGGGAGGCGCAGCGGCAAGGCGTGGCACAGGCAATGTGCGTCTGAGCACCTCCACTGCATATACGTTTGTGCCTCTCCTTCGAATGCGTCTGCATTCCCCGCCTCCTCACGCAAAAGGCTAATAGCGGCACATTGGATGCGTGTTGGATACGGGGTGGGACAGCCGTTCAGTTGGTTGTTTCGAAGCAGATCCAATGCAGTGGTGTGTGTAAGGGTGAGCAATGAATGCTCTGCACGCGGGGGACGCGGTGAATTCGGACAACCGGTTTGCAGGAAGTAGGTGCAGAGAATTAAGAAACGTGGCAGAGTGCAGTGGGTCGGCGTGAGACACACTGATGAGTCCTTAGTCGCGTCGAACTTTTGCTGCTAGAAGCAGTCGTCGCGAGGAGGGTGTATAGGCTATGAGGGCAATTGATTGAGCTGGATTGTTTGCAGGTTTGCCAGTGCGTTCAGGCATTTCTAGCTGTGCTCCGAGCGAATGCTTGCTGGAAAGAAAGTGCGTGCGGATTTGTGTGATGGAGTCCGCCTGTCGGTGCAACGGCTTTGAATCTGCTGGAGCCCGTCGTTCCATCGAATGGAGTGGAGAAGATTTGGAGACGGGCATGTTGGTGCGAGGCGTTGGATGGGCATATCGCAGAAAGTACGTGGTTGTTACTGGAGGGCCTCCAGTTCTGAGTTGGGGCAATAGGAGGGAGGGGTTGGGACTTGTGGTGACTGGGAATAGCTCTGTAGACGCGATATGCGGGAGAGACAGGGGAGGCGCAGCGGCAAGGCGTGGCACAGGCAATGCGCGTCTGAGCACCTCGACTGCATATACGTTTGTGCCTCTCTTTAGAATGCGTCTGCATTCCCCGCCTCCTCACGCAAAAGACTGATGCTGCCACATTGGATGCGTATGTGTGTGTCCCGGAAACAACGTGTTAACTGTGTAGGTTTGAAGCAGATCCAATGCAGTGGTGTGTGTAAGAGTGAGTAGAGAATGTTGTGCACGGGATGGACCGTTGCGAATTTGAATACCGGGGCTGCAGGAAGTAGGCGTCGAGTACCCAGAAATGTGGCCGTGTGCACTGGGTCGGCGTGAGACACAATGGTGAGACCTGACTCGCATCGAGCGTTCGCTGCTAGAAGCAGTCGTCGCGGGGAGGGTGTATAGGCTATGAGGGCGATTGAGTGAGCTGGATTGTTTGCAGGTTTGCCAGTGCGTTCAGGCATTTCTAGCTGTGGTCCGAGGGAATGCTTGCTGGAAAGGGAGTGCGTGCGGACTTGTGTGATGGAGTCCGCCTGTCGGTGCAAAGGCTTTGAATCTGCTGGAGCCCGTCGTTCCATCGAATGGAGTGGAGAAGATTTGGAGACGGGCATGTTGGTGCGAGGCGTTGGATGGGCATATCGCAGAAAGTACGTGGTTGTTACTGGAGGGCCTCCAGTTCTGAGTTGGGGCAATAGGAGGGAGGGGTTGGGACTTGTGGTGACTGGGAATAGCTCTGTAGACGCGATATGCGGGAGAGACAGGGGAGGCGCAGCGGCAAGGCGTGGCACAGGCAATGCGCGTCTGAGCACCTCGACTGCATATACGTTTGTGCCTCTCTTTAGAATGCGTCTGCATTCCCCGCCTCCTCACGCAAAAGACTGATGCTGCCACATTGAATGCGTGTGTGTGTGTCCCGGAAACAACGTGTTAACTGTGTAGGTTTGAAGCAGATCCAATGCAGTGGTGTGTGTAAGAGTGAGTAGAGAATGTTGTGCACGGGATGGACCGTTGCGAATTTGAATACCGGGGCTGCAGGAAGTAGGCGTCGAGTACCAAGAAACGTGGCAGTGTGCACTGGGTCGGCGTGAGAAACAATGGTGAGACCTGACTCGCATCGAGCGTTCGCTGCTAGAAGCAGTCGTCGCGAGGAGGGTGTATAGGGTATGAGGGCGATTGAGTGAGCTGGATTGTTTGCAGGTTTGCCAGTGCGTTCAGGCATTTCTAGCTGTGGTCCGAGCGAATGATTGCTGGGAAAGAAAGTGCGTGCGGATTTGTGTGATGGAGTCCGCCTGTCGGTGCAACGGCTTTGAATCTGCTGGAGCCCGTCGTTCCATCGAATGGAGTGGAGAAGATTTGGAGACGGGCATGTTGGTGCGAGGCGTTGGATGGGCATATCGCAGAAAGTACGTGGTTGTTACTGGAGGGCCTCCAGTTCTGAGTTGGGGCAATAGGAGGGAGGGGTTGGGACTTGTGGTGACTGGGAATAGCTCTGTAGACGCGATATGCGGGAGAGACAGGGGAGGCGCAGCGGCAAGGCGTGGCACAGGCAATGCGCGTCTGAGCACCTCGACTGCATATACGTTTGTGCCTCTCTTTAGAATGCGTCTGCATTCCCCGCCTCTTCACTCAGAAGACTGATGCTGCCACATTGGATGCGTGTGTGTGTGTCCCGGAAACAACGTGTTAACTGTGTAGGTTTGAAGCAGATCCAATGCAGTGGTGTGTGTAAGAGTGAGTAGAGAATGTTGTGCACGGGATGGACCGTTGCGAATTTGAATACCGGGGCTGCAGGAAGTAGGCGTCGAGTACCAAGAAACGTGGCAGTGTGCACTGGGTCGGCGTGAGACACAATGGTGAGACCTGACTCGCATCGAGCGTTCGCTGCTAGAAGCAGTCGTCGCGGGGAGGGTGTATAGGGTATGAGGGCGATTGAGTGAGCTGGATTGTTTGCAGGTTTGCCAGTGCGTTCTGGCATTTCTAGCTGTGCTCCGAGCGAATGATTGCTGGGAAAGAAAGTGCGTGCGGATTTGTGTGATGGAGTCCGCCTGTCGGTGCAACGGCTTTGAATCTGCTGGAGCCCGTCGTTCCATCGAATGGAGTGGAGAAGATTTGGAGACGGGCATGTTGGTGCGAGGCGTTGGATGGGCATATCGCAGAAAGTACGTGGTTGTTACTGGAAGGCCTCCAGTTCTGAGTTGGGGCAATAGGAGGGATGGGTTGGGACTTGTGGTGACTGGGAATAGCTCTGTAGACGCGATATGCGGGAGAGACAGGGGAGGCGCAGCGGCAAGGCGTGGCACAGGCAATGCGCGTCTGAGCACCTCGACTGCATATACGTTTGTGCCTCTCCTTCGAATGCGTCTGCATTCCCCGCCTCTTCACGCAGAAGGCTAATAGCGGCACATTGGATGCGTGTTGGATACAGGGTGGGACAGGTGTTAACTGTGTAGGTTTGAAGCAGATCCAATGCAGTGGTGTGTGTAAGAGTGAGTTGAGAATGCTGTGTACGGGATGGACCGTGGCGAGTTTGGACACCGGGGCTGCAGGAGGTAGGCGTCGAGTACCCAGAAACGTGGCCGTGTGCACTGGGCCGGCGTGAGACACGATGATGAGACTTGACTCGCATCGAGCGTTCGGTGATAGAGGGAGTCGTCGGGAGGAGGGTGTATAGGGTATGAGGGCGATTGAGTGAGCTGGATTGTTTGCAGGTTTGCCAGTGCGTTCTGGCATTTCTAGCTGTGCTCCGAGCGAATGATTGCTGGAAAGGTGCGGATTTGTGTGATGGAGTCCGCCTGTCGGTGCAACGGCTTTGAATCTGCTGGAGCCCGTCGTTCCATCGAATGGAGTGGAGAAGATTTGGAGACGGGCATGTTGGTGCGAGGCGTTGGATGGGCATATCGCAGAAAGTACGTGGTTGTTACTGGAAGGCCTCCAGTTCTGAGTTAGGGCAATAGGAGGGAGGGGTTGGGACTTGTGGTGACTGGGAATAGCTCTGTAGACGCGATATGCGGGAGAGACAGGGGAGGCGCAGCGGCAAGGCGTGGCACAGGCAATGCGCGTCTGAGCACCTCGACTGCATATACGTTTGTGCCTCTCCTTCGAATGCGTCTGCATTCCCCGCCTCTTCACTCAAAAGACGGATGCTGCCACATTGGATGCGTATGTGTGTGTCCCGGAAACAACGTGTTAACTGTGTAGGTTTGAAGCAGATCCAATGCAGTGGTGTGTGTAAGAGTGAGTTGAGAATGCTGTGTACGGGATGGACCGTGGCGAGTTTGGACACCGGGGCTGCAGGAGGTAGGCGTCGAGTACCCAGAAACGTGGCCGTGTGCACTGGGCCGGCGTGAGACACGATGATGAGACTTGACTCGCATCGAGCGTTCGGTGATAGAGGGAGTCGTCGGGAGGAGGGTGTATAGGGTATGAGGGCGATTGAGTGAGCTGGATTGTTTGCAGGTTTGCCAGTGCGTTCAGGCATTTCTAGCTGTGCTCCGAACGAACAATTGCTGTGAAAGAAAGTGCGTGCGGATTTGTGTGATGGAGGCTGCCTGTCGGTGCAAACGCCTTGAATCTGCTGGAGCCCGTCGTTTCATCGACCAATTGGTGTGGGGCATGTTGGTGCGAGGCGTTGGATGGGCATATCGCAGAAAGTACGTGGTTGTTACTGGAGGGCCTCCAGTTCTGAGTTGGGGCAATAGGAGGGAGGGGTTGGGACTTGTGGTGACTGGGAATAGCTCTGTAGACGCGATATGCGGGAGAGACAGGGGAGGCGCAGCGGCAAGGCGTGGCACAGGCAATGCGCGTCTGAGCACCTCGACTGCATATACGTTTGTGCCTCTCTTTAGAATGCGTCTGCATTCCCCGCCTCTTTACACAAAAGACTGATGCTGCCACATTGGATGCGCATGTGTGTGTCCCGGAAACAACGTGTTAACTGTGTAGGTTTGAAGCAGATCCAATGCAGTGGTGTGTGTAAGAGTGAGTAGAGAATGTTGTGCACGGGATGGACCGTTGCGAATTTGAATACCGGGGCTGCAGGAAGTAGGCGTCGAGTACCCAGAAACGTGGCCGTGTGCACTGGGTCGGCGTGAGACACAATGGTGAGACCTGACTCGCATCGAGCGTTCGCTGCTAGAAGCAGTCGTCGCGGGGAGGGTGTATAGGGTATGATGGCGATTGAGTGAGCTGGATTGTTTGCAGGTTTGCCAGTGCGTTCTGGCATTTCTAGCTGTGGTCCGAGCGAATGATTGCTGGGAAAGAAAGTGCGTGCGGATTTGTGTGATGGAGTCCGCCTGTCGGTGCAACGGCTTTGAATCTGCTGGAGCCCGTCGTTCCATCGAATGGAGTGGAGAAGATTTGGAGACGGGCATGTTGGTGCGAGGCGTTGGATGGGCATATCGCAGAAAGTACGTGGTTGTTACTGGAGGGCCTCCAGTTCTGAGTTGGGGCAATAGGAGGGAGGGGTTGGGACTTGTGGTGACTGGGAATAGCTCTGTAGACGCGATATGCGGGAGAGACAGGGGAGGCGCAGCGGCAAGGCGTGGCACAGGCAATGCGCGTCTGAGCACCTCGACTGCATATACGTTTGTGCCGCTCTTTAGAATGCGTCTGCATTCCCCGCCTCCTCACGCAAAAGACTGATGCTGCCACATTGGATGCGTATATGTGTGTCCCGGAAACAACGTGTTAACTGTGTAGGTTTGAAGCAGATCCAATGCAGTGGTGTGTGTAAGAGTGAGTAGAGAATGTTGTGCACGGGATGGACCGTTGCGAATTTGAATACCGGGGCTGCAGGAGGTAGGCGTCGAGTACCAAGAAACGTGGCCGTGTGCACTGGGTCGGCGTGAGACACAATGGTGAGACCTGACTCGCATCGAGCGTTCGCTGCTAGAAGCAGTCGTCGCGGGGAGGGTGTATAGGCTATGAGGGCGATTGAGTGAGCTGGATTGTTTGCAGGTTTGCCAGTGCGTTCAGGCATTTCTAGCTGTGGTCCGAGCGAATGCTTGCTGGAAAGGGAGTGCGTGCGGATTTGTGTGATGGAGTCCGCCTGTCGGTGCAAAGGCTTTGAATCTGCTGGAGCCCGTCGTTCCATCGAATGGAGTGGAGAAGATTTGGAGACGGGCATGTTGGTGCGAGGCGTTGGATGGGCATATCGCAGAAAGTACGTGGTTGTTACTGGAAGGCCTCCAGTTCTGAGTTGAGGCAATAGGAGGGAGGGGTTGGGACTTGTGGTGACTGGGAATAGCTCTGTAGACGCGATATGCGGGAGAGACAGGGGAGGCGCAGCGGCAAGGCGTGGCACAGGCAATGCGCGTCTGAGCACCTCGACTGCATATACGTTTGTGCCTCTCCTTAGAATGCGTCTGCATTCCCCGCCTCCTCATGCAAAAGACTGATGCTGCCACATTGGATGCGTATATGTGTGTCCCGGAAACAACGTGTTAACTGTGTAGGTTTGAAGCAGATCCAATGCAGTGGTGTGTGTAAGAGTGAGTAGAGAATGTTGTGCACGGGATGGACCGTTGCGAATTTGAATACCGGGGCTGCAGGAAGTAGGCGTCGAGTACCCAGAAATGTGGCCGTGTGCACTGGGTCGGCGTGAGACACAATGGTGAGACCTGACTCGCATCGAGCGTTCGCTGCTAGAAGCAGTCGTCGCGGGGAGGGTGTATAGGCTATGAGGGCGATTGAGTGAGCTGGATTGTTTGCAGGTTTGCCAGTGCGTTCAGGCATTTCTAGCTGTGGTCCGAGCGAATGCTTGCTGGAAAGGGAGTGCGTGCGGATTTGTGTGATGGAGTCCGCCTGTCGGTGCAAAGGCTTTGAATCTGCTGGAGCCCGTCGTTCCATCGAATGGAGTGGAGAAGATTTGGAGACGGGCATGTTGGTGCGAGGCGTTGGATGGGCATATCGCAGAAAGTACGTGGTTGTTACTGGAGGGCCTCCAGTTCTGAGTTGGGGCAATAGGAGGGAGGGGTTGGGACTTGTGGTGACTGGGAATAGCTCTGTAGACGCGATATGCGGGAGAGACAGGGGAGGCGCAGCGGCAAGGCGTGGCACAGGCAATGCGCGTCTGAGCACCTCGACTGCATATACGTTTGTGCCTCTCCTTCGAATGCGTCTGCATTCCCCGCCTCTTCACGCAAAAGGCTAATAGCGGCACATTGGATGCGTGTTGGATACAGGGTGGGACAGGTGTTAACTGTGTAGGTTTGAAGCAGATCCAATGCAGTGGTGTGTGTAAGGGTGAGTAGAGAATGCTCTGCACGCGGGGGACGCGGTGAATTCGGACAACCGGTTTGCAGGAAGTAGGTGCAGAGAATTAAGAAACGTGGCAGAGTGCAGTGGGTCGGCGTGAGACACGATGATGAGACTTGACTCGCATCGAGCGTTCGGTGATAGAGGGAGTCGTCGGGAGGAGGGTGTATAGGGTATGATGGCGATTGAGTGAGCTGGATTGTTTGCAGGTTTGCCAGTGCGTTCAGGCATTTCTAGCTGTGGTCCGAGCGAATGATTGCTGGGAAAGAAAGTGCGTGCGGATTTGTGTGATGGAGTCCGCCTGTCGGTGCAACGGCTTTGAATCTGCTGGAGCCCGTCGTTCCATCGAATGGAGTGGAGAAGATTTGGAGACGGGCATGTTG